TAGGACATGCAGGGAGGAATGGAGAAGGGAGCAACATGGCTTATGGAAGAGAAAAGGGCCCTGATCCCTTTCATTAGTTGCAGCTGGGAGAACAGGATATTAGAAAGGCGTTTGCATACAGCACCTTGCTGGAAGCAAAGCGTGCATTATCTTTGTCAAGGCTTATCTGGGTTTTGGTGTCCTCCCAACTGTGTGTGCTTCATTATCTTTTGGAAGTTTGCAATTTATTATCCTGGCCTGTCGTGTTAATTACTTCAGCGTGGTTTGTGTTGGTTTTTTTATTTCTAATTTATCTGTACTTTGGGTTCGGACTGCATTCCTTCCCTTTGTTGACTGTTTTTGGAAGAGTTTGATCTCCAGCGAGGATAACTGGACATTGGGGTCAAGTTGGAGGTATTAAAGTGACTTTAGCTATTTTTGTGACTTTGTTGCTTTTGTGCCACACCCCAGGTAATCATATTATGTTGTTTCTCCATGTCATATAATATATGTGGGTATATGCATAATTTTGTATTTATTTATTTATTTTGTCATGTTTACGTAGTATATATTGGAGGTGGTAACTCTTTGAGAGCTGTATGCAATGAAATTTCATTTTAATGTATGCCAATTAGTGTACATTCAAAATGACAATAAAGCTATTCTAAGTTCTAAGTTCTATGTCAGATAGTCATATTCCAAAGATTCAGGGTAAATGTATTAATATCCTTTTCTTTGCTGATGATATGATTCTAATGGCTCATTCTGAAATAGGCCTGAGAAAACTATTGCAAATGCTAAATACCTACTGGGTTCTTACATCTTAAAACATTGATAAAATAAACTCTAAAATTATGATATGTAGCAAAAAGGGCATGAAATATAATTGACATATAAATAGGGAGCCTATTGAACAAGTGAATTCTTGTACTGATTTAGAAGTGGTTTTTACCAACACAGGGTCATATGTCAATCTTTTTTTAAAAAGCTTGGTAAGGGCCAAGGTAAATACTTAAAGATTAAATTAACTAATTATCATTACCCAAATACCTTGACCCTTGTATTGAACATCTTCAGGGGAAAATAGTCACAATGTTGATTTATGATATGGAATTGTGGGGCTTTACAAAAGCTATCTGACTTGAACAAGTCCACATTTCTGAGACCTGTACTAGGAACTGTACTAGAACTGTTAGAACAGAAACAGGTATCCATTCCATACGTAGCCAATCAATAATTAAATTTGTCACATACTCTCAGAGGATCCATTCAATGGATCCAGATAGGGTACTCAAAATATGTTTAGCAGATAAATATGGTTCAGTCCAATTCCTGGGTAAGCTGACTTACCAAAGTTATTTCACAGCATGGATTTTCTGCCCAGTACAATTTCAACTATCCCCTAGACAAGGAATTTTTTTTAACAAAGACTCTTTGATATCAATGCCCAAACTGACATGGAATTTTTGGCAAAAAAAGTAGATCTTTAAATTGATTGCTAAGAAGAAAACTATTTTTTCATTTGAAAAATGCCTGTCAATGTGTTTGACACAATTCTTTTTTTTCATAACATTTTTTACTTTATACTATACAAAAATTCCATTTTTAGTTAAACAGTGTATTGTCTGGGTAAATAGTTTTAGGAAAGAATCATCAAAGTGTTTACAACAATGTTCATTACATTGATATTCATTCTAGAGCAAGATTTGAGTTGTTGGATTACATGGCTAAACATGGGTGCTTCCATTACCTGCGATATCATGAGAAGACATGTATAAGTGGTACCTCAGTATCAGAAATATTGCTTATGTTTGGTTGACTGACAATTATATGCCCCTCTTAGGTTTAGATCGGGGTGGCAACTTTAAGACCTGTGGACTTCATTATGAACAGAGTTAAGTTTCCAATTAAGGCAGACAGCTTAGCTAAGAACCTGTTATATTAAACAGATCAGAGTATCCTGTAAAGTGATGTGTTTATCTGATGCCAAATCTTTGTATTTATCACATATGAATTATTATTGGGGTATTATATCTCTTTTACCCTGGAACTAGATTCTCTATTTTACTTTTATTTTTTAATACAGCCATAAGACTACTGATAATTAATTAATAAACATAGATTTTCCATTAAAAATGGCATTTTTAGAGGTTTGAGAGAATTTTGAAGAAGAAAACCATTTTTTTGAAGTTGACATCAACAATCCCTTTTTTTAAATACAAACAAGCAAACAAACCTTCATTATTGTGGACTGATTTTTTTTTATTAATTTGTTGAGTTTTCACATTTCTGACCATGATGCAGGAAGCTAGTCTTTCACATAACAAAAGGAAGAATGGTTTGTAAGAGATTCCATTATAGACAAAATTATCTTCCTCTGGTTTCTAGTGTCTTCTCATGACATATTAATCCAAGCATGGATCGGAGTAGAACATACCACTTGTACTTACTGACTCCTTTCTCCAAGCGTCACTAGACATTTTCTTAATTTTAACGTAGAACATAGCATAAAAATAAATTAGGAATAAGGAGAGATTCAGTTCAATGTAATCTCCATTTTTAGACATTCATCATATTATTTCTTATTTGCATTTTTGAAACAGAGGTTGCTTGTCAACAGTCAGTAGCAATAGTTGGGGTCTCTTCATTCTTGTCAGTTTCTGAATTTTTGAGCTTAAATTTGTTAGATTTATACCCCCCCAGCACACATACACACACTTTTCTACAGGTGTTTAATGTGGTATTCATACTGCTCCCTCCTCCTATTTGCCCTCACAACAGCAACCTTGTGAGAGTTTCTACAGCTCATGAAGGACTAGACCATCCTACTCCTAGTCCAAAACTTTAGCCTCATACTTTTGGATACTTGTATGGTTGAATGAGCTACTTTTCAGTAGTAATCCATTCTTATAAACCATTTAACTCTTAGCTCACAAAGTTAGGGCCAAGGAAGAAAATGGATTCTCACCTATTATCTCTTGGTGTTTAAAGAAAACAAGCTGAAGCAATTAATTGGATCGGATCCATGAACATGGGAAGGTTGAGATGGTCACCTCCATAGACTCCATAAACCACAATTTGAAAGTCATTGATTTATGGATTTCCTAGCTTTTGATTTTACAAAATTACTTGTAGTTTTACTTTGACCCTAGCCAGTAGAAATACTGATATGCCTCCCCGCACCCCACTTTGCTTGTACAGGTGAGAGGAAAATCTTGTACAATATACAGAGCAATAATCAGGTAGGACTTTCTATTCAAGTCAATTTAAATAGCAAGTTATACTATTGTTTATCCCAGTCAGGAACTAGAAAACTTATCTTCATTCACTTTCCTGAATAACATTTTCACTTTTCCTGTTTCTGAATACTAATATATCATCGTAGAGCCAGTTGTGAACTAGGCAATATGTAAAGAGTGCATGCAACTGTTTTTATTATACATAATTAATATTTTATTAAGTGCTGAAGATCAAAAGGAATCTCAGTTGATAACCCAAGCCACACATGGAGTTGGCAAGTTTTCCATCACACTTAAAGCTGCAGCAGTAGCATAGAATTGTTTTAGGCAAAGGGATGTGCTTCACCGTTGAGTAGTATCAGAATCATACTTATACAAAAATGGGCAACTCTAAATTTAATACAATTTTAATCCCATTAATTACATATAGAACACCAAGGGAGATCTCATTTACGATCTCAGGAACACAGAATGGCATCTGCTCCCCAATTCTCCTTCCCTATTTGTCTGGCTATAGGTGGTGATTTATTTATTTATTTATTTGATTTGCCAATTGTTTACAAGATAATAAGTATAAGTGTATACATAGTTCTGTATACATGAAATGGGTACATATAAGAAAAATAAAAGAATAAGAGAAACAATAGGACAAGGGACGGTAGGCACGTTGGTGCGCTTATGCACGCCCCCTACAGACCTCTTAGGAAAGGGGTGAGGTCAATAGTAGACAGTCTAAGGTTAAAGTTTTTGGGGTTTGGGGAAGAAACTACAGAGTCGGGTAGAGTATTCCAGACATTGACCACTCTATTGCTGAAGTCGTATTTCCTGCAATCAAGTTTGGTGCGGTTAACTTTGAGTTTGTATCTATTGTGTGCTCTTGTGTTGTTATGGTTGAAGCTGAAGTATTCATTGACAGGTAGGACATTGCAATGTATGATTTTATATACCATGCTTAAGTCAGACCGAAGACGGCGTAATTCAAGGTTTTTTAGTTCTAGAATTTCAAGTCTGGTGGCATAAGGTATTCTAGAACGAGTAGAGGAGTGGAGAACTCTTCTTGTGAAATATTTCTGGACTTTCTTAATTGTGCTAATATCAGATACGTAATGTGGGTTCCAGACTGATGAACTGTATTCGAGTATTGGTCTAGCAAATGTTTTGTATGCTCTGGTTAGTAGTGTGATATTACCAGAGAAAAAGCTACGTAGGATTAGGTTAACAACTCTTAATGCCTTTTTGGCTATGTAGTTGCAGTGGGCTCTAGCACTTAGATCATTAGAGGTGAGTATTCCAAGGTCCTTTACAGAGCTTGGGTCATCAACAAGTTCTTGACTATTCAGCTTGTATTTTATTTTCTGATTTTTTTTTGCCAATATGTAAGACAGAGCATTTATTTGTTGAGATTTGAAGTTGCCATTTGTTTGACCATACTGATACATAGTCAAGATCTTTTTGTAGGGTAGCAGTATTGTCTGTGGTATTGAACAGCTTTACATCATCAGCGAAAAGAACGCAATTGCTCTTAATATGATCACAGAGGTCATTTATGTAGAGTATGAAGAGAGTTGGTCCTAGAACACTGCCTTGGGGGACACCACTATTGACAGGTACAGAATTTGATAGGACGCTCCCAATTTTGACCATTTGTTGTCTGTTTGCCAGGAATGCTTCTATCCAGTTATTCAGTTGTCCAGAGATACCATAGGATTTTATTTTTAGGAGTAGTTTGTCGTGTACCACTGAATCAAAGGCTTTACAGAAGTCTATGTAGATTGCGTCTATTTTGTGGAACATCCCACTGAACTAAAAAGTGGTGTAATGATTACATATCCAGTCCTATCACCCCCACCTTTCTAGCCCTTTAAACCCTTTAAACTTCCCTCTTGACCTCATTAGATATCCTACAAATGTATTGGTTTTATTCCTTTAAGTCTCAGCCAAAATGGCCTTAGTAGACATTAGAGATTTTGAACAATATACCTTGCCATCTTCAAGTGTAGCATTAACAAAATTGAATTTATTCAAGCTATTTTCTTGTGATGACATGAAAATATTCTCCTAAACACACCTAGGCACACTAAGTCTTCTCAGTGGAGACATCTTCTTTCCTTACTAGCCCTGGAACCCAAGTTCCTTGTATTTGCTGGCCATACCATTCCGGAACAGCTCCAAGGCTTTCCTCATTGCCTCTTGACAATCAGCCCCAAAATCTGCAGAATGTTTTTCAGCAATGACATCAATGATGACTTCAGAAATGAACTATATAAGAAGTATCAATGGTGGCATAGAGAAATAAGGGATAAGAAAAAGGATGGGGGGAAGAGACAGAAAGTGAGAGTGTTCTTAAAATGGCAAGTAAATGTCAAACATCAAAGCAGCAAACATGATAGCTTTACATTAACTTTGGTCAGAGCAAGAAAGAAGAAAATAAAAAATAATATATATTTAACATTTTTCTCTTAACATGTAAATGTCTCAGACCTTAGTCAAAGGTTGGCTCATCCTTTTCTCATTCATTTCTGGTGGGACAGAGTACAAGGTTCTCTAGATATTGCAGCATTACAGCTTTTTTACTCTTGGCTATCAGAGTGAAGGATGTTCTAAATTCCCAACAGATATGAAAGATGCTGCGATTTGTAGTCAATTGACAACTGAAGAGATGCATATTGAAACTTCATGCATTCTTTGTGGTTGAATGAAATGATCTCTAAAGAGGTTCAGTACATTAGAAGGCTTTGCTTCACTGATCAATAGCCATCCATGTTACTGCTTATCCAGGGCCACTAGTAAAGGGAAAAGTTATTTCTTTCTTGTGGGAAAGAATGAAGAAATATGCATTTCTTTCTACTGCATACCCTGTGATCAAGATTGATGTTATTGCAGATTCACAGCCTCTTCTTGGTTGCCAAGAACAGAATATCCTTTCCTCGCGACAATTAAGGTACCCTGTTAGTTGTTATTACGTAATTGAATTAATGGAGCGAGATACATACACTAATAATACTATTACTCCTGAGTTGAAAAGCTGTGGCATAAATCTTATTTAAGGTAGCATATAGTATCTTGCATTACTATCATGGCTGGCTGAGGAATTCTGGAAGTTGAAGTCCACACATTTTCAAGTTTGCTAAGATTGAGAAACACTGATGTAAACTGATGTAAACTGATGTAAACTGAAGCTTGAAACAATTCAGTCAAAATAGAGCTGGAAGGGACCTTGGAGGTCTTATACTCCAGCCGTCTGCTCAAGCAGGAGATCCTATTCTATTCCAGACACGTGACTTTCCAGTCTCTTTTTCAAAAACCTCCACTGAGTGACAGCAAACTGTTCCACTGGTTAATTGTCCTCACTATTCGGACGTTTCTCCTTAATTCCAGATTGCTTCTCTCCTTGATTAGTTTCCATCCATTGTTTCTTGTCCTGCCCTTGGGTGTTTTGGAAAATAAAACCCCTTCCTCTTTGTGGCAATCTCTCAAATACTGGAATACTGCTATCATGCCACCCCTAATTAAAACATTTCTTTATTCAGACCCTATGGTTGAAAATGAGCTGTAATTTTATTCTAAAGCAGTCCAGGCAAAAATCTCTGGCATTCATGAACCATTCTGCTTTATACCTACTCCTTTGTTACTTCTTGGGTATTTGAAAATTTGCAAAGCTAGGAGAAATTTGTACCAGCTACTTGAAGAAACACTTTAAAAATATTTTTCAAGCAGAATAATAGATATATATATCCTCTTACTTTCTCTGTAGTGGAAACAATATAGGAAATAGTACTCACACTTCTTTAACATTTTCCTCCTTAACTAGAAATGTGATTTATCTCATTCCTGAAGTTAAGTGAGCTTTGTAAAATAGATCATCGGTCTGAGCCATGCATTCCTCCTCTCTCTGATCTTTCTTTCTAATCTGGTAGCTAAGAAGTGCACACTGAACCTTGTCCAAGAAAAAGAAAAATAAAGGTTTTCAATATTTTATTATCTTTTGGAACAAGATTCCAAAAGATTGCAAACCTTCCTATTGGGTTTTACACAGCCGAGTATGGGAAAGAAACGTAGGAGTAAGTGTTCATTACATTTTAGCAGTGTTATGGCGATTTTAAATGTGTGTTTTATGTTTACACATATATTAATATTTTAATATTTTATTCAAAAGAGACAAGAAGCTGGGCTTCCAGTGTGAGTTATCTCACACTTCTTTCTGTGAATAAGCAGAGACAACCACTGTGAAGAATGAAAGACTGGCAAGTAGACCGGTCCTTTAAATCTCTCCAGAGAGCAAGAGCTCAAGAGTGCTCTGTATAACAACTCCTCACATAAATCAGCGGTCTCCCACAGGTTTGAGCACCGGGAGGCAAAAGAGATGACATCTTTGCTCTCAGTAACAGGAAAAGCCTTTCATAAGAAGGCTAAGCCAACCAAACTCCCTTTCTAATCACATTCAGACATGTCAGTTTAGCCATTTTATAGGTATTGCAGAGTTCAAAATGGAAAAATTGATACTTGGTATGTTTTACCTTCTGTGGATTTTAAGAAATTTTAAGCAGAAACTTAAAATGTCTCGGGAGATTCTCAGTCATCCAGGTCATCCGGGTCTCCCAAAGGTGATTTTTTTCAAGAGGACATTCTGGAAAGAAGAAGCTTCTTGGATGAGAAGCTAAACCAGTCTTCAAAGAGAAACCAGAAAGTCCAGTTGCCTTTTGAAAAAAGCACCTTTTGGACACTTTTGTCACTTAAGACTTTAAAAGACTTTAAAATAATATAAATAATATAGCAAAAAGCAAAAAAAAGTTATTAATTTAAGAAAGTTTTAAATGGATTTGGAGACCAGAGAGATTTGATTATTTTTACTCTATGATTTGAAAAAAAAACCAGTATACAATTGAATAATATACTTATTAGAAACAACTGAAATAGAACCAACTCCGTATTAGGAACTGAGGTTTAATGAAATTTGCAAATGGACACCAAGGGGAGCTAAATGATCAAACAGAAAAGAGTTTAAATGGCTAGGTTGGCTGTAATACCATCTTAAGGAATTTCAAACATTGATTGAAATAATAGTACAGGTAGTTCTTGATTTACAACCATTTGTTTAGTGACCCTTCAAACTCGTAAAATGGAACAAAACTCACTTAACAAATTTTTCATTAGCAACATAAATTCCAGGCTCAATTGTGGTCGTATGTCAAGTGCTACCTGTAACTAGTGTCTCCAAAAGGATACAGATTTCAAGGGATAAACTTTTAGAAGATAACAATAAAAACTTTTTTTAAAAACCCTTTTACCTGACCTTTTTACCTGACCCTTTTACCTGACATGAAGACATGGAAGAAAACAAAATTGAGATTACCAAAATACAATAGACTAATCAAGGACATGGAACATCTTCAACAACAAGAAATCCCAGACAATGTTTCTTTATGGGGCTTGCAAAGTAAGCTGGTGAAACCTTTGAAGACGTCTTCTAAATGCCAAAGCATAACAAAAGATCAAAGTCCGTGAGATGATTTAAAGGTCAAGATTGTGCAGAGCAAAAAGGGGAAATATAAAGTTGGACTATTTGACCATGGATAAACTATTTTATATATTCACTATTGAACTGCATCTTTCAAGTAGTGTCATTCTATATTTATTTGTTTGTTAGATTTAAATCTGATTTCTTTTTCTACTAGCAAAAGGCAATCTATGTCTTCCTCCAAAATTGAGCTTCTATGGTTTATAATGGCCTTGAACCCAGGTCCCCTTGATTATAATCCAATACTTAATCACTATGCCATGTTAACTGAATCCTCAATAATGTACATTGAACCGGTTTATTCAAATGGGGTCTGTTTCCCCGTGCAACAAATTAGAACTATTATTAAACCAGAATGGACGTTAGTCTGCTATTCCACTACTAGAAATTAAAGCTGTGTGTTCTTTCCTTTCTCTTTTTTCATTTTTGCTTTTATTAATTGAAGGGTAGCAAATTCAATCAAATAAGAGGGGCAGCACTGAGGGATCCTTGGTGCTTTCTGACATGGTTGTTTTCTTGCAGATGTTTCATTATCCCTACTAAGTAACATTATCAGTGTAGTCATTAGCATTGATAATATTACTTAGTTTGGTTAATGAAACATCTGCAAGAAAACAAACAAGCACAAAGAGCACCAAGAACTCCTCATTTCAATCATGAGCTGCAAATATTCTCCTTTAGGGACTGCATTGTCCAGTTTCTACTTGGATAATCCATAGTTAGCATTTATTTGGAAATATCTACTGGCAGGGTGTGATCATCTGATGATTTCTGAACAAATTTTGGTAAATTCAATATTAATTTTATCTTCCTAGGGCAAGACTTCACTGTATGGGTAGCCACTACTAAGTTAGATGGTGTGGCAGCTGGCTTGATATATTTAGTTCTCTTTCTATTTAGAATGTAGAATAAGGGACCTTGGAGGTTTTCTAGTCCAACCCCCTGCTCCAGCTGGGCTAGCATCAGTGGTCAAAAAGTTTAACTTTAACTACTAAATGTTTTGTTTGAGGAGATCAACCAAGGTCAAAAAGATGCTGTCAGCCCTGTAATGTCATCATCTGATGACAAATAAATAAGCTTTCCCTTGAAAGATGATTTTTGTCAACATTATACTTCTAAATTGCCCTTTTAAACTTCCTATATCCGTTCTAAAATTTAGTAAGCAGGCCTACACATGCTCAGAATACAAACCTTTGCTTTTCTGCTTAATAATTAGCTCTTTGGGTATACATGACTGGCCACCATCATACTTACTTCTAAATATTTGACTGGAATCTTATGCTTGTTGGCATGAGTCTGTGCCAGTGGTGCCAGTTCAGCTTCATGGGACCCTTTCTGTTTCAGGATTTTACCCAAAGCACTGAGGACAGTGGTTCCATGTTTCTTGAGTTCTTCTGAGTTCTTCATCTCCTCCAGAGTCTTGAAATTTTTGAATTTGACAAAGCGCTCTTGAGTCTCAGGGTGGTTCTGGAACATCCTATGAATTATATAGAGAAACTCAGGAAGAACCAAGTCAATGATGCTGAGTCTTCGATCATCTTTAACCACCTATATCAGTTAAGCCTACAGACACATTTTAGATGCCTACAGTATATTAGACCCTGTTTACATAAGTTACTTAGGTGGTATAGTAAGTTGATGAATTATGAGAGTTGCCCTTTCACTGGATCCTTGGAGAGTGGGATTTCCATTTTTAGAACTCATTCATAGTTCCATTTTTAGAACTCATTCATAGTTACGTGACTCTCCTGCAGCTTATCTCATCCCTTGAGTATTAAAAAAAGAAATGTTCACCTTTCATTTCAGACTTCAACAAACATTAAAAAAAAAGCAGCTGCATAGATTCAAAAGACAATTTCAGTAGGATTATGGATCACAGTATAAAGGAAACCCTGCACATAATTTTGATTAAATTATGTAGCTATAATTTTAGGCATGCCTGAGACTATTAAAATCAATAGTGGTGATCATGCTTAAATACGTTAAATTACATAGATGTGTGTTCATAACAATCTCTTTGTTAAATATCATTTAACAAAATGAAATTCAATGTAAAGAAAAGTAAAGTCCTACACTCAGGCAAGAAAAACCAAAAGTACATATATAAACTAGGTGAAACCAGGCTTAATAGCAGTAACTGTGAGAGGGATCTTGGAGTCTTAGTGGATAACCAGCTAAATATGAGCCAACAGTGCGCAGCAGCAGCCAAAAAAGCTAATGCAATTCTAATTTGCATTAACAGAGGGATACAATCGAAATCAAGTGAGGTATTAATAGCACTCTATAAAGCCTTAGTAAGACCACATCTAGAGTACTGCATCCAGTTTTGGTCACCACATTATAAAAAAGATTTTGAGACTCTAGAAAAAGTACAGAGAACAGCAACCAGGATGATTAGGGACTGGAAACTAAAACGAAGAATGGTTACAGGAACTGGGCTTGGCTAGTCTAGTGAAGAGAAGGATGAGGGGAGACATGATAGCAGTCTTCCAATATTTGAGGGGCTGCCACAGAGAGGAAGGGGTCAAGCTATTTTCTAAAGCGCCTGTAGGCCAGACAAGGAATAATGGATGGAAACTGAACAAGGAGAGATTTAACCTGGAAATAAGGAGAAACTTCTGACAGTGAGAACAATCAACCAATGGAAGAGCTTGCCTTCGGAAGTTGTGGGAGCACCATCACCTGAGACTTTCAACAAGAGATTGGACTGCCATCTGTCAGAAATGGTATAGGGTCTCCTGCTTGGGCAAGGGATTTGACTAGATGACTTACAAAGTCCCTTCCAATTCTAATTATATGTTATTATGATAATGCAATTATATTAACAGAACCAGCACCATAAGCAGGATTATTGCCACTTGGAAAATATGTTCTAGTTATTATCTAGGTTATTGTTTAGGGCAGGGGTGTCAAATTCAAGGCCTGCAGACCCGATCCAGGGTACTTAACTCTGGCCCATTGGGCCACCCTGGAAACTGTCCTGCAGTGCCTCTGCCAGTGAAAATGGAACTTGAGAGGGCCACCCATTCCCAAGCTTTATTTTCCCTGGCAGAGGGTTGCAGGAGGCAATCGCAGCCGGAAATGAAGCTCAGGAGCCAGTTTTCACTGGCAGAACACTTGTCACTTATAACTAAGCTGTCTTATAAATAATATCTAAATATCTAAATTTCAGATATTAATTTCCTATGGCTCAATGGGTGACCAAAGATCAGGAAACAGACAGAAACCAACAAAAGGAAAGCAGCTAAGCAAGTTGATAGTGTAATGGAATGTTGATAGGGGTCAACTATGTACAATGACATGGCCAAATTTAGAGCTGGTGAAAGATCAGATAAGTGTGATGATTTGGGATACATCCATCAATGGAAAATACAAGCATATTCTATATCCTATTCTATTTTGTATTTCATCTCCCTGTCTTCTGCTACTTAAGCCAGAGGGTAGAAAACACACAGGACTGGTATTATCTTCAGTGACCTTTTTTTTGTACTATTCCCCACTGCTACCAATTTCCTCCAACTGTCATTGCCATTGTCCAAATATTGCCTATCTGTGCTGCTCCTACTGTTCCAAATTATACAGAAGATGGTATGTGAAGATGAATCTTCTTTCATGAACCCACTCATGAATCTGACAGTGCGGCCAGCTGAGCAAAGGTGTGCTTTGCAAATATTGAAAATCATGGTCATGCACACTCCAAACTGATCACAAGCCAGTTTCAAAACACAACCCTTTATTTTCCAAGTCTTCCCTTCACTGTTGGTATTTTGTATGTTTCCTAGGTTCCTTTCATCCCTGTCATTTACTAGCTTCCTTATTTTTGATCCCAACATTTATCCCAACAGATGGAACAGAGCCGTACTGTTTTATTTGGGGAAAAAGAGATGGAATGTTTGTCAACATAATCCTAACATTGTTAACACTTGTTAATTTATGCTGATGGCATCTTGAAATATATATTTCCCTTTAGATGGGGCACCCTGATTTTTGTTTCACTGCATTGTCTAGAGAATAATAATGTTAATTGGGCATTTGTTACTTATTTGTTAGTTTTCCCACCTTGTCCATAATGAATGATGCACAAATCAGCCAAGATCCATTTGGCAGGAACTCAAAAGAAAAGGCAGTATAAGATGTGGCTCTAGTCTAGAGGTACAAGTTTTATGTTAGTACAGTTCTGTGCCCACTCAAGAATGGATGGAGAGCACTTTAAAACAGCAAGGAGAAAAGGCACTGTTATTATTAATCATTCACTCAAACACAGATTAAACTCCTTTGGAAGCCTTTGCCCCCCCCCTCCCCAAGGGCTTATCTAATAAAGAAGTCAGTACAAATTGAGGACAACAAAATTAAAATATCAGCAAGTTTGCATCTCTTTTTCTCTGCCTCTGTAATGTTTAGTTTTGAACCACATGCCAAGCAAATTCTTAAATCACCACCATGCCAGCTTGTTGGGATTGTTGCTGCTCAGATTTCCACTCCTACTTTCTGCTTACCTGATGATGACTTCCTGACCATGCAAAGAGAGATCCGGTTCTACTTTGTCCCAGATGTCCATGACCTTCTGCCATTCCTGCTCGGTGAGCCCCATAATATTATGACAATGAAAAGCCTTTAGCTAAAGAGATACAGACAGTCCGGGTGTTCTCCCACGAGTGAAGGTTGAACAGAGAGATCTGTTGGTTTAATAAACTGACTAAAGATTGACATCTATCACTTGACAACTCCACTCTAGGTCACTCTGGTCAAACTCTTAGTGGAAAGCTATTTTGAATCAGGTGCTATTGTGGCAGACCTCGATGAAATAATTGCTGACTCTGGTATCAGACTGGTACTTAAGGTTTTAAGTCCCACAAAAAGGACACTGCCAAGCATCAATGCCAGGAATTTGGTATTCAACACCCAACCCAAGAACAGAGAAGATGTTCCAATTTTTCATTTTATCTTTGACAGCCAAAAACACACATGGCAAGGGAGATCAGTGATCAATAGCACCATGGAACACATAAGAAACTGAACCCCTCCACAACACTCAGCCCCACCATTTTCTGAGCCTGACCTGTATCATAAGTAGACCACAGTGGACAAGGGGGAGGAAAATACAGATAACTTTTTAAAACATTAAGAGTAGCTGAAAATAGTTCCTTCAGAAGGAAGGAAGGTGACTAGCGAGGGAATGTAATTAGATACTCCCATCTCACAGGGCTGATAAAATGTTCAGACGCCTTCTCCAAGTTCCCTTCATTAAAATTAAAAATCACATTAGTCTTGGACCTCCAGGAGATGTGCAATCGAACCTTCAGGGTCCCAGAATCAAGGGGTCCCATCTCATGTTAATCAACAGACTCCAATTCTGTTTTATGCTCAGTTATGTCTGACCTTATTCACTTTCAGCCAATGCCCCAGAGTTTAGAAGACATATGCAACGACGACACCATTAAAGCCAACCTCTTTAACACATTCTTTGTAAACAGCAGTGGATCATGCCCAGTATTTCCTAGTCAAACCACAGACAACTACAATGTTTTAATACATATCAATTTTACAGAAGACAATGTTGAAAAAGCACTATGCAATCTAAAACCATCTCTATCTATTGGACCGGACAGAATATGTGCCTACTTCTTCAAAAAGCTATCCACTGCCATAGCCGAACCTCTAAGCATAATCTTTGAAAAATCTTTCAGGACCAGCTCCGTGCCAAAACTATGGTCACAAGCCGCGGTCATCCCCTTCTTCAAAAAGGGAGACCTCAGCCTAGTTGAAAATTACAGACCAATCTCTTTATGCTGCGTCACCTGTAAAGTAATGGAATCAATTATTAACCAATCCATCATCCTCCACTTAGAGACAAACAATCTACTCTCTAATAAACAATTTGGTTTCAGGAAAAAAAAACTATCCTGTAAACTGCAACTCTTACACTGCAAAAACATATGGACTACACAACTGGATCAGGGCAAAGCAATAGACGCAATCTACATAGACTTCTGTAAAGCCTTTGATTCAGTGGTACATGACAAACTACTCCTAAAACTAAAATCTTATGGTATCTCCAGACACCTGCATAACTGGATAGAAGCATTCCTGTCAAACAGACAACAAATTGTCAAAATTGGGAACATCCTATAAAATTCTGTACCTGTCAACAATGGTGTCCCCCAAGGCTGTGTTCTAGGACCAACTCTCTTCATACTCTACACAAATGACCTCTGTGATCATATTAAGAGCAACTGTGTTCTCTTCGCTGATGATGTAAAGCTATTCAACACCACAGACAATACTACTACCCTTCAAAAAGACTTTGACTATGTATCAGAATGGTCAAACAAATGGCAACTTCAAATCTCAACAAATAAATGCTCTGTCTTACATATTGGCAAAAAAAATCAGAAAATAAAATACAGGCTGAATAGTCAAAACCTTGTTGATGATCCAAACTCTGTCAAGGACCTTGGAGTACTCATCTCTAATGATCTAAGTGCTAGAGCCCACGGTAACTACACAGCCAAAAAGGCATTAAGAGTTGTTAACCTAATCCTAAATAGCTTTTTCTCTGGTAATATTACACTACTAACTAGAGCATACAAAACATTTGCTAGACCAATACTTGAATACAGCTCATCAGTCTGGAACCCGCATTACGTATCTGATATTAACACAGTTGAGAAAGTCCAGAAATATTTCACAAGAAGAGTTCTCCACTCCTCTATTCGTTGCAGAATACCTTATGCCACCAGACTCAAAATTCTAGACCTAGAACTGTGCTGCCTTCGGTCCGATCTAAGTATAGTATATAAAATCATACATTGCAATGTCCTACCTCTCAATGAATACTTCAGCTTCAACCATAACAATACAAGAGCAAACAATAGATACAAACTCAAGGTTAATCGTACCAAACTTGATTGCAGGAAATACGACTTCAGCAACAGAGTGGTCAATGTCTGGAATACTCTACCTGACTCTGTGGTTTCTTCCCCAAACCCCAAAAACTTTAACCTTAGACTGTCTACTATTGACCTCACCCCTTTCCTAAGAGGTCTGCAGGGGGCATGCATAAGCGTACCAACGTGCCTACCGTCCCTGTCCTGTTGTTTCTTTTATTTTTTTTATTTTTCTTATATGTATCCATGTATTCATAACTATGTTTTTACTTATACCTATTATCTCGTAAGCAGTTGACAGACCAAATAAATAAATAAAATAAATAAATAAATATTATGCCCACAAGTTGCCATCTTACCTTTTGTCACATATGACTTATTAACATGACTTATCTTGTCGCTCAGACTTGGAGCAGCTGCTATCTGGGGTTTATAGAAACTGGAATTTAAAACTTACAATAACAACAGATAGTGGAATCGGTAAACTGAAAATGGCAACTATACTGGATTCAAAACCACAGGACGTTGTGAGTGTTCATTCATGGAGGTGAAGGGTGCTTTGTTTTTTGTTTAGTTCACATACAGTACATTGTTTTTCATACTAACCCACCAAATCTTATCTCTTTTAAAACAAGACGATGGAAAACCAGTGTACAATTATCCCAAAGCTGTGTGCAGGCAGAATGGGACGACTCGCTGCAGCTGGGTTTCCACTGCCAGGTCACTGCCGTTGGGTCGCCATGGCCAGCTCACCCAGGGCAACTCATTGCAGGACAAATCATTGCAGGAGAATGCCAAAGGTAAATGGAAGCTCCTTCCCCTTCTCCGTCCTCTCTCCCTCCTAGATCTGGCTTATCCCTCCCAGCCAATACCCATTGAATTCTGTGGCAGAAATTCCTGTATATGAAAATGTGTGTGACTTTCTCCCATGTGATTTTTTTTTCTGGTCAGGGAAAAATTCGTCTTCCCCTTCCCCCTTTGTCCTCCCTGATTTTTTTCTCTAGTCTGAGCTGCGGAGGAAGAGAAGGAGGAAGAGGAGGTTCCACTCGCTTCCAGCAGTCTCCCATTACATTATATATGTAACTAATAAAAGAAATTATCCCACAACGAGTTGCCCTGAATTGAGGTGGTCCAGATGAGGTGAACAGGGTGAGCCAGGGTAGTGAGCCAATGGCGGTGAGTTTTCCTAGACCCGCCTTCAGGATATGAAAAAAAAAAATATCAAGATGGCAGTCATAATGCTATGGTTGAAGCTTTGCCCACTTTAGTAGGCCACAATGTTGCCATCTTGATATTTTGACCACTTAGACACCCCTGATCCTCCTATGTATTTGGATGCCAAAGTCTACTTTTATCCCTCTCCCCTTACAGCCTTGTTATTTGTTGGCATTATGTACCCTCAAAGAATTGTTTGCAATATAACCTCTTGTCAGACCCCCTTGGAGTTCAAAAGCAGGCTGTGTACATGATGTGGTGCCAGTTCTTTCACTAACCTTTTCAATGCATACCTGGTATTTGGGTCAACTATTATGGGAATTGAAGAATTTAACTCCACCATTCTAAGAGTGTATTGCCAAAATCCAGTGGCAAACCAGCACATTTTTTGTGTCTTTATTTCCATGGACTAAAATAAGTGTATCATTTAAAAAAACACACACACATTGAAAACCTCAAGCCCACCCTCCTGAAAAGTTTCCTTTTCAGAAAATAAATTCAAACACCAGCCTCCCCAGTTAATACCCCATGTAACCCTAACTCATAAAAAAGACAAAAAACACCACTGCCTGGTCACACAAGAAGGTATCAACTATTATTTTAGTGCTGCTACACCCAGCCTTGGATCTCTTGTACATAATGTATGCCATCTAGTGGCTTTAAAGGGAAAAAAAACAGCAAATGAAGCATTCTCATGTTCATTGCAAAATTATTCAGGAATAATTTATGACCCTATTTTAATGTTGTGTCATGTAGTGTGATGAAAGGAGATGGATCTTTTTTTTCATCTGCTTCTATGGGATAAGAAGGGCAAAGTTGTCTCAATTTTCAGAAAGTCAACAACAAGAAGGTGGCAGGAGGACTAATTAACATTTGATTAACAGGATTGGAATTGCTATCACCTTGAACCTCAATTTCCCATGAGCAAAATGTATGCATGTCAAATGAGATGTGTTTGTGGAGACCTTCACCCAGGTTGGTACACACAGGGAGCAATTAAAAGTAAGTGGCAGCTATTTTTACTACTCTGATTTAATGCATTAAGCCTTCTAAACTGATTCATAAAAGTGACAAGATTTCTGTTATTACAGGGCCAGCCTGCACAAAGGAACTTTTGGTTATTGTGACATCTATTTGCATGAATTGCCCAGTAGTTATTAGGACTGCTGCACATTTTCTATTGCCTGAACTCAACACTGAAGTCTATCAACTTTAAGGGGTAGCCCTGTCTAGTGTGGGGTTGGGGGAATAGGTAAATAAAATGGATACACTTTTCTGAGGTTAAGGACACCCATTTTGCTTCTTTTTCTTCAAAAATGTTCCTTGTAAAGAGCCCTAGATGTTCTAAAAGTGAACTCTGCCTGAGCTAGAAGTAAGCAAATAAGTGTAGCTAAATCCACATTACTTATTACAGAATCCCTATGCATTTCCTAACATACATACTATATAAATAAAAACAACCAGAAAATCTATCCAAAACAACCAGAAAATCTATCCAAACTCCCAGCATTCCTCTACATTAGCCACACTGGCTGGGGACCATTGGGAGCTGTAGTCCTGCAATCCTTTGGTATTTCTTATCCGATTGGAATTTGACAGTTCTAGGTTGAGGCAGCAGGGA